CCCGGCGTTCTGCGGCCCCGGGAAAAAGTTGCCGGAGTCCGCAGCGAACTTCACGCGCTGCCCCGCGCCCCCGCGTGTCCGAGGCGGCCCGAGACGCTCCGTCGCCCCCCCGTCCACATACACACCCCGGCCGGTCCGGCCCCGGCAGCGCCCCGCCGCGGGAGGAGCCCCGGGGTGTGTTGGGGGCGCTGCCGGGGGTGGGGCGCGGCCCCCTTACCATCTCCACCTGGCGGGGGTCGAGCTGGCTGGGGGGCGCGGGCACCGAGAACTGGATCTTCTTGCGGTCCTTGGGGTCCATGGCGGGCGGGGCGGCTGGCGGGGCTGGGGGCGCGCGTCTCGGGGTCCGGGGCTGCGGTCCCGGCTCGGCTTCCCGGCGCTGCTCGGGGCGCGGCGGCGAGCGCTGGCTGTGCGCGGCGAGGGGGAGGCGAGCGGCTCACGCTCAGATAAAAATACCGCGCGCCGCGAGGGGAGGGCGCGCGAGCGGGAGGGGGTCGCGCCGGCTCCGAGCGCCCCCGACTCTCGGCTCTGGGGCTCGCCCGCCGCGCCCGCCGCGCCGGTCCCCGGGCGCCTGCAGCCTGGGCTCCCGGCTCGTGGGCTCGGGGTCTCTGCCCCTCTGCCTGAGTCTCGCCTCTCCCTCCTGCCCTCGCTCTCTCCGAGGGTCTCTGTGGGTGTCTCCGCCTTCCTCTCTCTCCCTCCCTTCCTCTCCGTGCGCCTCTATCTCTGCCTTTCTCGATCCCTCCAGGTCTCACCCTCTGGTCCCAGCCTTGGGGTCCCCGGCCCGTCCCCTCGGCCTGGGACTGGCGCCCGGGGGCTGGGTGGGAGGGCCCAGTGGGAAGTGGCCAATGAGCACCGAGAACCGTGTTCTCCCCGGGCCGGGAGGAGGGTGCGGAGTGTGAGCCAGGACCCGGGGAGCGGGCTGGGGGCCCCCCTGCCGTCTCCCGAGAACTTGAAGCTGCATTATTGATGGAGTCCAGCGGGGAGGATAATGGGGGTTGGGGTGGGGAGGCCGGGGCGGGAGGTGTGGGGGGAGAGGGGCAGCGGGGAGACGGGACTCTGGCTTTAACCCCTTCGTGGCCTGGGTCCTTGGAGTTTCACGAGGAGGCCTGGGAGGTCCTCGAGAAACTACCACCAGCGTGTCACGCTGTGAATGGGGGTGTCCTAGAGAGCCAGAGAGTGTGAAAGAGCGGGTGTGTGTGGGAGGACACGTGTCAGTCATCATGGCAGGGAGTGTATGTGAGTGCCAGGGGGCCCTGTGGTGCCCGTAGCTAGGGAGCTTGTGGGGGGGGGGGGGTCCGTGTGGCATGAGTGTGTGTGAGTCTATGTGAGTAAGTGTGTCAGAGTGTCAAGGATGCGGGTGTGAGTGGCAGGGTGTGGGAAGGCTGTGTGCTGGGGGAGGGTGTGGGTGTGGGGGAGGATGTCAGAGGCTGTCAAGGTGATGGGCTGGCGTGTGGCAGCTTGGGGGGGCGGGGTGGAGGGGCTGTATCCACAGCTCTAGCCTGTGCAGAAGAGGTGGATGAGGTTGTGATCCTGGGGGGCAGGGGGGGATGTGTCCCTGCCCTGATGTACCCTGGGTTCATGTGTCTCCTGTCTTTTCTCCCCAGATCTAAAGCAGGGGGGAGCCAGAGCCGGCCCAGGGGGCAGAGTCGGGGGGCTGCTTGTACCAGCACACGTGCCATCACGTGTGTGAGTTTGGTGCATTTGGGAACAGAGCTGGGGGGAGAGGTGCATGTGCTCATTTCGGAGGTGTGAGCCTCTCTCCCTTTGCCGAGGTGTTGGTGTGTGTCTCCGGAGGGGAAAAGGGAGGAGCTGGTCCTGTGGGTTAGGGTGTCCCTGTTTATCTGTCCAGGCCCTGGGTATCTCTGCAGGCCTATGGGAGAGCACCAGAATGCTTTTCCGTAGCGTTGAGAGGGTGCATGTGTAGACGAATACATAAAAATGCGTCTTCCTGGGGTTCTGTTTGTATTGGCTGTCCTCTCTCCTGGTCACGCTCAGACCTGGAACAGCCAGGAGCACTCCCCCTGCCCCACCCCCTCCTGCAACTTTTCCACTCCTAGCCCCAGCATGCTGGGTCCTTGGCAGAAGGGAGCAAGAGACCAGAGGAGTGTTGTGAAAACGGGGTCAAGGACACGATGTTGCACCCCAGAGTCACCCAGAGGGTGGCAGGAGAGCAGAGCTTTGCTTACAGGAGCTGGGAATCCTGGCCACTCAGGATTCAATCCCCAATCCCAGGCCTGGTTCAAATCCCACTGTGTTTGTTGACTTATATACTTGTCAGGGAAACGGCCAGATGCTGGGTCGTGACCCAGGGGTGTGGGCATCTCTGGCAGCCCCTGGCTTGGCCTAGACCCCTCTTCCAGGTGCAGTGTGCTGGGGAGTGGCAAAGAGCAGTTTGGCAGTGCCTTGAGAGGGTAAATAAGGAGGTCCTGAAAGTCAGAGGGGCACAGGAAGGGCATGTATACCTGAGTGGCCACTGGGCCAAGGTGAGGGTGAGGCGCCTGTGGCTTCCAGGGCTGGGGAAGTGGGAAAGTCCTGGAGCAGGGCGAAGGGGGACAGAGGACAGCTGGGTGGGTGACAAGAGGACAGGGACAGGGAGGCATCACTACCAGTCACACCTCAGAGCCCATCAGAGTGAGAAAGCCTTGGGGACCATGGCAGCTAGGCTCATTTGACCAGGGAGGACTCATCTATGGAGGTTCTGCCAAAAGGATTGGTGCTCTGGGAGACCATGAGGGAAAAATTCCCCTGACCCAGGCTGGGGTAGCTGGAAGGTAGACTCCCCCTCTGAGCTAGGCCTGGAAGATGGGCTCTTTGGGGTGGAGGGGAGGGTTTTTACCCTCTTCCCCCAGCCTTCGCCCAGGCCCCCACAGCTCTGGCTGCAAAACCTGGGCCACAAGGGGTGGGGAAGCCTGGCTGACAAAGGAACAGGCACAGGGACAGACAGGAAGGGGGAGGAAGGGAAGAAGGATGACAGAGACAGGAGGTGAGAGAGAGGTGGGGAGGCAGGACAAAGTGAAAAGAGAGAAAACACATGTGAGAGATGGAGAGACAAAGGGAGAAAGAAAGCCTCACCATGGAGAGAAGCAGGAGACAGAGATGGAAAGAGAGTAAAAATAGCTCAGCATTAAGATAATTGCAGCTCACAGTTCTGCCCTCTGTTAGGAATTAAATGAGGTTTTATTACTTTGATTTTTCTCTCCTGGATCCTACGCGACTTCTCAAGAACTTGGGGAAAAGTTTTTCAGGTGGGCGGCCAGGTGGCGGGGGCTGCGTGGGTGAAGGAGGAGGAAGGGAACAGGACTTCTGGGAGCTGGGGGGATGCGGTCAGGGGCAAGGGGTGGGGTGGGACTTGTGAGGGTGGGGGAGCCCTCGCGGGAGCTGGGAGATGTGGCCAGGGTCAGGCACATGGGGGTGGGGGACTAAGAAGCAAGGGGCCAGGGTGACCTCCATTCTCTTTGACTTAGAATTAATCATATGCAAATGAGATGTAAAAATAATGTGCCACTCCTCAGTTATTATTCTTGAGTTAGAAGCACAGGCGGTTGGGTCCAAGAAACAAAATCAAGACCTGGTTTGACTTAACTCTGATTGAACTGTGGGTCTTTCTGCTTGGACAGACAGAAATAAGAATTGTAGTGTGTCCATTAATGTGTCATAGGTCTCAACACACTATTTTGAGACATGTCCTTCTCACCGTTTCTCTTCCCATCATTACCTGCTTGCTGCCACACGGCCCAGCGTTCAGGAGACACTACATTCACCTTCTCTGGAAGGTGAATCTGGAAGGGAGGTGTGAGGCCTTTGCCTTCCTTCTGGGAGTTGGGGAGAGTGGAAGGTCGAGAATATTCCCTCCCTTCCCCCAAGCAAGATACGGTCAGGTGGACAGAACATACACTGAGGAGTTGGACAGACCTGGGTAGGAAATTTGGATCTATAATTTACTGTGTGATCTTAGATAAAATCTTACCCTCTCTTTGCCTCAGTTTCCTCGTATTTCAAAGCCCACCTCACATGGTAGCTGGGACGATTCAATAGGATAAAGCGAGTAAAGCCCCCAGCCCAGCGCTGTACTCCTCCTGGTAGGTGTGCAGTCAAGTCTAGCTTCCCTGGAGTTCAGGGGTGCGGTTACGGGAAAGGCCAGCAGGTGGCGGAGTCGGCCAGGGTTTGGGCGGCTGAGCGGCTGGTACTGCCGGTCTGTAGTTGGGCATCATACCCGTGACCTTGGCACCACGGAGCTGAGCAGAGCTGGCCGGTTGGCACGTGGCAGCTGGAAGGGAGGCCCCGGAAGCCCTGGGCAGCAACCTTAGAGAAGCCGGGGAGCACTAGCTGGGCACACCGGGGCATCTTTCCCTGCCGAAGCTGTTGGTGGGGAGAGGGAGAGGGAGGAGGGGCGAATTCCAAGGCCCGCCTCTGGGGAAACCCGTGGACAAGAAGAGAGGACAAGGGCACTCTCAGCCAGGAAACAGTGGTATCAGGACAGATGGGCCGTCATCTGAAACATTCATTCGACATATTCATTCATTCGTTCATTTATTCATCCATCACCCATCCCTTTGCCTACCGAATTGGGTGCTTTTTAAAAAATCAACCTTATTGGGGGGTGCCTGGGTGGTTCAGTCGGTTAAGTGTCTGCCTTTGGCTCAAGTCATGATCTGAGAGTCCTGGGATGGAGTCCCACATCGGGCTCCCTGCTCAGCGGGGAGCCTGCTTCTCCCTCTGCCCACCCTCGCCCCTGCTCGTGCTCTCTCTCTCTCAGATAGATAAATCTTTTTTAAAAAATCAACTTTAGGGCGCCTGGGTGGCTCAGTTGGTTGAGCGACTGCCTTCAGCTCAGGTCATGATCCTGGAGTCCCGGGATCGGGTCCCGCATCGGGCTCCCTGCTCAGCAGGGAGTCTGCTTCTCCCTCTGACTCTCCCCCCTCTCATGTGCTCTCTCTCTCATTCTGTCTCTCAAATAAATAAATAAAATCTTTTAAAAAAATCAACTTTATTGAATCAGAGTTTTTTATACAATAAAATGTACCATTTCAAAATATACATTTAGGGGCTCCTAGGTGGTACAGTCGGTTAAGTCTTGGACTTTTGGTTTCAGCTCAGGTCGAGATCTCAGGTTGTGGGATGGAGCCTTGCTTCTGGCCCCACGCTCATTGCGGAGTCTGCTTGAGTTTCTCTCTCCCTCTCTCTCTGCCCCCCCCCCATCAAATATATATATTTCTTTCCTTCTTTTCTTGTCTTTTCTTTCCTTTTTTTTTTAAGATTTTATTTATTTATTTGACAGAGAGAGACACAATGAGAGAGGAAACACGAGCAGGGGGAGTGGGAGAGGGAGAAGCAGGCTTCCTGCTGAGCAGGGAGCCCCATGTGGGGCTCGATCCCAGGACTATGGGATCATGACCTGAACCAAAGGTGGACGCTTAACGACTGAGCCACCCAGGCACCCCTCCTTTTTTTTTTTTTTTTTAAGTAAGTTCCACTCCCAGCGCAGAGCCCAATTTAGGGCTTGAACCAGGACCCTGAGATAAGACCTGAGGTCATATCAAGAGTCGGTCACCTAACCGACTGAACCACCCAGGTGCCCCCAAGATATGCATTTCTATGAGTTTTTGAGAATTTTAAACAACATATGAGTATACCACAACACAGATATAGAACATTTTCATCACCCCAAAACGTTCTCTTTTGCCCATCCAAGTCAACCTTCCCTCCCTGTTCAGTGGGTGTATCATAACTCAACACACTGTTTTGAGAAGTGTCCTTCCCACCATTTGTCTTTGCACCATCACCTGCCTGCCAGAGGGCCCAGTATACAGGAGGTGCTACAGGCCGAGAGGGATGGACTGAGGAATGAATGGATGGATGAATACGCAAGTCATAGAAATTGTCAATGGGTGACATATATGGAGCATTTACTTTGTGTTGGGCCCTGAGCTAGGCCTTTTATATGTATGATCTCATTTAAGCCTCATTAGTATCATTCCATTTTACAGATTAGGTAAATGAGGCTCATTCCATTTTACAGATTAGGCAATTGACCCTTTTGCCCAGAGGGTTCACTGGGTTCACAAGAAAACAGTCTGATTCCAGAGCTCTCACTCTTTACGGCTGCCTTTAATACATTCAAGATGGGTGAGTAGAAGATTGCTTGCATGCACTGGACCAGGCTTCTCTGTTGCTCCGCCTTGGACCGGGTTTCTCTCCAGCCCAGTTGGGACCCACACAGGGGGACCAGAGAGGGCTGGGGAGCAGAAATCCATGTGTGGAGGCTGCCCTCTGGTGGCAGACATGAGTACAGCGGCGTCTCTGCCCTCGGGCGCCCTCAGGTAGGATGTTGTTGAAAAGAGTGAGCAAGCAGGCAGCCCACAGTGGGGGCAGCCTCAGCCCCGGGCACCTGGAGACCCCCTGCTCTGGCCACTGCCTGGTGCCCCCCGAGGTGCCAGCTGAGGCTGCTCCCGAAGATTGCCAGCTGCCGGAACCCACCGCCTCCTACCCCCTCCACCAGCCCTCACACACACTCCGATCCCGGTCCAGTCGGCTGCTTCCATTCCCTGAAGAAGAGGCCCTAAAGTTAAAACAGCTGTTAATTTATAAACCAATTTTTCCGTGACTGCTTAATAAATCGCCAGCAGCTGCTCTGCCCCCTCCTCCTGCCCAGGCACCCGGCCCTGAGGGCTGCGTGGAGAAGCTCAGAGCCTCCTGCCTCTTCCCCTCAACTCCCCAACTTGCACCCCATTCTCCCCGGAACTGAGCGTGTAGGGGGGGAACCCTGATGAACCCAGCTTCTCTGGGCTTTGGTGGAGTAGAGGGGAGAGGATGGATTTCCTTTCTTTCCTTTGGGCTGCAGCCCAAAGGCCATCCCTCCCAATGCCCTACACCCTCCTCCCCCGGGACTCCCAGGCTCAGAAGGTAGGTGTCAAAGGTTTTCTTAGGGCTTGGGAGTGAGGGTGTCCAGATTCCCTAAGGGAGTTCCCCTGAGACACTGGGAGGGAAAAGGACCCTGGGCTGCTCCCTGAGAGCTGGAACCTCAATTCCCTGGATCTGGGTGGTCCGCCTGACCTGCAGCGAACTGACTCCCTGACCCTGCTGTTCTGTCAAGGGAGGGCTGATAGGGGAATGCTGGGATAGCCTCCCACTCTGGGGGGATGCCCATCCCCAGGATAATGAGAAGAGGGATCTGGGCGTCCTGAGCATTCACCTTACCCAACTTGTACTAGCATGTAAAGGGCACCATGAAAATCCACATGGGGTGGAGGGCTGTGTGAATGATAGGCGGGAGGCATGTTCTTTATCTTTGCATCTGCCAGTTCCAAATGCACCCCCCCAAAAGCCTGCTGCTACTGTGATCCCTGACTCCACTGGGCAAGGGGGTCAATCTGGCCATGCCCCTGTAGCCACAGGAGCTCAGCAGGGAAGGGGGAGCAGGGTGGTAGAGCCTACCAAGTTGGGAGTTTCAAATCCTACTCTCCCGCTTACTAGCTGTGTGACCTTGAGCAAGTAACTTAACCTCTCTTTTCTTCCTCCCTGTCTCCATTGATAAAATAGGAATACTGATTATAGAATTGTGAAAATTAAACAAGTTGATGCACATCAAGTGCCTGGCACATAGTAAGCTCGTACAGAGTGATAGTGCTATATCTCCACCCCCCTGCTGGAAAGAGCAGAGACTGGATTTCTTGGGTCCCCTCAAGTAGCAAATCTTGGGGTGGAGGTGTTCGGGAGATTTCCAGAAGAAGGGGTGGGGGCAGGTAGGTGGGGTGGGGCCAAAATTAGCAAAAACAACAACAACAACAATCACCAGGATTCTGGAGTAATATCGTTGTGCCTGGACTTTCTCATTCTGTTCTCCTCCCATCCCTCTAACCCCACCCCCACCCCTTGCCCCTCCAGTAGCCAGGGGCCTTCTGCAGCCTGGTTTTCAGGAAAGAAGGAATAGCCTCCACCCCACTCCAGCTCCAGAGCCCCCACCTCTCCAGAAGAAAGTCCTCCCCACAGTCTAACTGAAATCCCTTCCTTCTCTTGTTCCCTACTCAGCAGGGGCTACCATGACCCCATCGTGCCTCACCCCCAGTGGGATGGGAGGGGCATCTGAGAGCCTGCTCAACTACTGTCACACAGGCTGGGAGCAAACCTGGCCTTGCTACATCCTCCCTGTGTGGCCAGAGCAACTTAGTCAACCTCTCTGAGTCATGGGTTCCCCAGCTCTGGAATGGGGAAAATCCCAGAACCTACCTTCTGGGTCGTTGTGAGGGCTGGATAGGACATTGTGATAGGACATTGTCTCAGCACAGGGCCTGGCTCTCAGCAGGTGCTGAGGACATGGTAGTAGAGAGAGAGGTGGCAGAGTATGATGGCAAGAACCCAGATGCCAGAGCTGGACCACCTGCATTCAAATTCCACTTCTCTACTCGCCGCTGAGTGACCTTGGGCAAGTCGCTTGACCTTCCGGTGCCCCTGTTTGTCCATCCATAAGATGGACAGTGTAACAGAACCTATGTCACTGGGTGGTCATGAGACATCTAGAGCTCTCAGAAAGCCTGAATTAATAGCACTGTTAGTTGCTGTTACTATTATTGGCCCCACCAGAGCATTGACCCCCTTTGGGCTTTGCCCCACCAAGGGGCTTGTTGATGGCAGAAGACTGGAAGGTAAGCATGACCCAGACTGGAGACCCTGGTACTGGGGACCGCGGCTCAGGGAAGACCTGCAGCCTCTACTAAAGTGTTCCCTCTTCTGGCATCCTCTGGCCTGGGCACGATCGGGAGGCACAACCCGCTGGCTTCCCGTGTCAATGGTCCTGCAAAGCAGCCAGACCCCTCCCTGTGCCCAGGTTCTGACTACCTCCTGGAAATAAAGCAAGGTCCCCGGGGCCCACTCAAGCTCAGGACGGCTCTGCCAGGGTGCCAGCTGGTGCCCACGGGGCGGGGCAGTAGTTTGATCATGTGGAAAGAGAAAGCTGGAGGCTTTCCTGGGTGGCCCCCTTTCCTGTGTCGCCCCCACCAGAGACATGGAAAGACTGGGGCCGAGGCCATCCTTGTAGCTCCCTTCCCCTGGGGACAGGCAAGGGGTGAGAGCTAACCTTGGCCTTTCCAGTGCCTCAGTTTACTCAGCCGTCCTGAGGATGGACTCTTCATTCCTGTCTCCCGGGGGCCCCAAAGGCCTTGGCATTGGCCTCTCACAGCTCCTTGCCCTCTTTCCTTTCTTAAAGAAAAAGAGCTCAGCCTCCTCTTTCCCGCCCGGATTCTCTCCTTTGAAGCCTCCGGGGAGGACACTTAGCCCCGGAGGGGAGGGGAAAAGCCAACCCCAAGCTGGAGCCCGCCAGTGCAGGGCGTGGGCTGCGTCTCCAAGACCGCCCTGGGCACCAGCGCCGCCCGGGTCGCCCCGCGCTCCCCGCCCCTGCCCCTTCCCGCCGCCACTGGCCCTTTAAGAGCCTCTCCGCGCGCTGCCGTCCCGGATCAGCCAGAGAAACCATTAAAATTTTATGCAGAATGAAAATGGGCCAGGTCTCCAGCTTCCTCGCTCCCATCCAATGATTTATTACTCGCAAATACCACAGAACTAATTAGTATAGTAATTAATTAATACGCATTTGCATATTTGCATGTGCAATTAGTGCAGTGGAGTGATTACTGGGAGAATGAGGGGCCCCGGATTGTCAGATGTGAGGGGGAAGTGGCCTGGAAAAGAGTTAGTGGGAATGAACTTTGTAGGGAGCGCGAAGGCGGGGAGGGAGGGGGAGACGAGCGGGGGCGGGGGGCGCCGGGGCGCAGGGGCGCCTCGCTGGGGCGCAGAGCCGCGGCGCAGGGGAGCGCCAGGCCTGGGTCCGCCCGCGGCCGCAGGACGCTGGTCGGGGGTCGCGACCCGGGCGCCCCCGCCCCGCCCGCGGCCCCGCCCCGCCCCCGCCGCGTGGCACGGCTCCAAGCGCGCGCCTGATTGTTATGCATTGTGTTTCTGGTTGCGAGCGGAGCCGGGCGGAATGGGGCTGGCACAAGCTGTTTGCCTGCCACGCGGCGGTGGCACCTTAAAGGGGCAGCGTCCTCTTCCCGCCGCCGCCGCCCTCGCCGACCCCACCTGCGAGCCGCCCGCTGGACCCCCTTCCGGGAGGTCAGCGGCGGCCGGAGCCGGGCCGCGGACGAGAGGGCGCGCGCGGGGCCGCTCAGGAGGTGGCGCATCCCCGGGCGGGGGCGGGGGCGCGGGGGGGGGGGCGCGGGGCACGTGCCGAGGGAGCCTGGCGGGCAGGAAGTCAGGCTGCGAGCGGGGATTGGGCGGCTGGGGCGCGCCGGGCCCTGTGCCAGGCGCCGGGCGGGGGCGGTGAGGCGAGAACAGGGAGAAAGCCAGGAGGAGAAGGACAAGGAGGAGAAGGAGCGAGTGGCAGGGTCCCTCTGGGTGCCAGGGGCTTCCTCATAGGATGCCGCTTCGCTTCTCATCTCACACAGATTCTGTGAGGTAGGGCTCCTTATTCCCATTTCACAGACGGGAACAGAAAGGTGTGACAGGCGGCTGGTGATCAGGAGTAAAGCTGATCCAGCGGGTCCGTCCATCCCCACGTGCGCGACGTGGTGCCGAGGGCCAGAAGAGGAAGTGACAGGACATCAGGGAGGGCTTCCTGGTGGAAGAAGCCCCTCACTGAACCTGCAAGGGCAAGGAGGGCAGCTCCTGAAAGAGCTGGGGGAAGAGGGAAGCATGTTTAATGTGACGGCCTCTCCCTGTGTAGGGAAGGAGCCCCCACCCACCCGTGAGCAGACCTGTGGAGACTGTCTCTTGTGACTGGGGCCTGGATGAAGGGCAGACCCTGGGCACCAGCTCTTCCCAGGGCACCCTCCTTTTCCCTCTATCACAGGGGCTGCTGGTCCCACAGCGTGGCGAGAGTGGGACTTTCAGAGAAAGCTGGACAGTCTGTAAGTGAAAGAGAGCTCGGACCGAGAGTCCGAGCTTGGTTCAGATCCCGCGTCTGCAACGTCCTAGCTGTGTGATGTTGGCACGGCAACCTCGACCCCAACCTCTCTGTGCTTCAGCGTTCTTGTCTTTAAGTGGGGTTAATAGTAATCCTGCCTCTGAGGTCCGGGGGAGAATGAAGTAAGATAATGCACGGGAAGCCCAGTGTCTGGTACAGATAACGCTCAGCATTGTCATTACGTTATTCTGGTTTACATACTACATTTTTATAGAGGGCTCTGAGGCCCCAGCGACAGGAGGACCCCAAAGCAGGAATTGGGGTCCTAGTTTCTAGCTCCAGCTATGTCACTTATTTATTGTGTGACATCAGGCAAGTTACTCTTCCTGTCTGTGCTGTGGTTTCCTTATCTGTCAAATGGGCGTCGGTCCACGAGGCTCCTCCCCCTAGTCTCCTCCCTTCCCTCCCTGTGCCCACCCTACAGGGTAGTGAAGTAGGAAAGCAGTGGCTAAGTCTCATTCACACTGTCCTGGGCTCCACTGTCCCAGGGGCTGAGCCAGGAGGTATCTGGTTAAATAGAAACCTCCTGGCCATTTCCTCCCCCCACCATGGCCTCTTGGGGCTGTCCTCCTGTGAGCACCAGCACTGCTGCAGGTGGGAGTCCCCTGTGC